GCGCGCCATTCAATCCATCCAGCAGCTCTGCCCGCGCCCAAGGTTTGGAAAGGCCTTGTCCCAGTTGCGGTCGAGCCGCGCTGCGCAAATTCGTGCGGCTGCTAGAAGTGCCATGAAACATAATTTGATGTCTTACCAAAGTGTTCCCCGCAACACCCGGGCAGACTCAAGATGGTCAAAGCACGCCAAACTGCATGAGATTTTCGATTACCTGGCATGATCATGTCACCTAGTGAAGCTGGTGAGATCAAGCCGTCAATTCATGTGGCCTGTTGGTAAACCTGGTCCCTACAGTGCCATGTGGAAACAAGTTCAGCTCACTTCAACGCCTGAAGTCCAAAAATTGAAAGTCTATCCCTGGGGCTTCGCAACTAGCTTGACAGCGCTTTGATGCCAGAAGTTGGGGCTTCAAAACTAGTTTGACAGTGCCTTCGACCAATGACCCTCCACCGTCCCCCATGGCAAGCCTTGCTCAAATCAATGAACCGCGCTGCCAGGTGATCAATGGGGAAGTTCATCCTGAAACACGTCTTGAAAGGCGTGGCCAGCTTCACTACCAACACATGTTTGTAGAAAAAGACAAAAATTAACCAGAAGTGGCTTTGAGTCAGCCGCGTAATGTTGAGAAAAAGCCGCGAATGGTGTAGAAAAGCCGCGAGTTGTAGATCTCCAAGTTTTGGTCATATATCCAACCTTATATATACCTCTCTTTGGAGTAGCGCTGTCAAAACACCACTAGTAGCAGTCAGAAGACAGCCGCGAGTTGGTGAGAAATGCTGTGATGTGTAGATCTTCTGATTTCTAGAATGCTTTCTTTCAGTCAGCCACGAACTGCAGTGATCAGCCGCGAATTGTATGTCTCGCTATAGTCGGTTTTGCTCAGCTGCTGATCTGTCCGTGATCACCGTGTGTTCACCCTCGCACAATGGCTAAGACCATGGCTGATGCTAAGAAAGTTGCCAAGGCGTCCAAAGCCAAGAGTGTCAAGGTTGAGAAACTACACAAAGATGGCAGAAAGAAGGATCAGAAAAGCAAGTCCTCGGGTGAGAAGGTGAAAGAAAAGCGTGCAAAGGAAGAAAAGGTCAATCGCAATGCGAAGGAAGCTAAGGAAGCTAAGAAAAACAAAGAACAGCTCAAGAAGAACAAGAAGGACAAGGCTGAGAAGGACAAGTCTGCAGTTCGCAAGTCGGCGTTTCAAGGACAAGACCAGCAAGCCTGCCGAGCCCAAGAAGCCTGCAGCTCCTGAGAGGAGGGTCTCATTCAAGTCACCGCAGGACACGCCTCCTCCCACTCATCATCGTGATACGCCTGAGCCCTCACCGGCTCCCTCAGCAGCTCTCAGTGTCGAGAACTTCAGGCAGGCAGCTCAAGAGCAGGGCCTGACTGTTGAGGAGCTCATGGAACGCATGAGTGTGAAGTTTTTGGAGGAGACGGTAGAGGCTCGCATGATGGAGCTTGTTAAGGAGAAGGAGAAGGATGAAGAGGGCGATGATGAAAAGGATAAGAAGAAGGCAAAGGCAAAGAAAACGGCGAAGGAGGAGGAGGATGAAAAAAGAAAGAAGAAGGAGGATGAGGAGGAGACAGCAAAGCAGGAAAAAGAAAAGAAAAGTGGAGGAGAAAGAAGAAGCCAAAGAGGAGGAGGAGGATGAAAAGAAGGGGGGGGACGATGAAGAAGAAACCGTTGAAGATTCGAGCAGTTCGGCAGAAACAAGTGAAGATGGTGGGAGTGAGGCGAGCGAGGAGGAGGAAGAAGAAGAAGGATCCGGGAGCTCAGAAGAGGAGGATGAACATGAAGATGAGGATGAAGTTGAGAAAGACCTCACGATGCTGCTCGATGACGCGGCTGATGGGTCTGAGAAAGAGGATGTCAAGAAGAAAGAAGAAGAGTCAAAGCCAAAGGGCAAAGATGAAAACAAAGATGAGCTGAAACAGGCAGTGGAAAAAGGGGAAGAGCAGTTCAAGCATGCCAACTCTGTCACTCACAAGGCTGAGTATGACAAGTTTTCTCGTCAATGTTTGGACAGAAAAAAATTCCCTGTCTCTCTGGCGCCTCACTACATGAAAGACAAGCTGGACGTTTTCAGGGCATGGCTCCAAGCCTCTGAGCAGTGGGACGCTGTTGAGGTCATCTATGAGCGCCGCGCAGAGCGGAGGTCAAAGTCCAAAAAAAAGTCGGGCTGCGCTGAAAGCAAGGGACCTGTACCACAAGTACCCCAAAGAAAAGGCTGACGGCCTCATGCGCAAGTTGAAGGAGAAAGGGATGTGGTACTATGACCCTGACTTCGATGGCGATGAAGAGGAAATCTTCTACTATGCCTGTGAGGGGAATGTGCTGAGTGATGAGTCAGTGTTTGTAGAGAGCACTACTGTCAAGGGAAAGGAAGTGGGTAACAAGGAGTTGGTTGAAGCCTTGACTGGAGAGGGTGGTCCCTTGGCCGCAGGTGCCATTGCAGGTGCAGCAACGGCGACCGAGGCAGGGCAAAAAGCCCTGTCGGAAGCCATGGCTGGTTCAAATGTGACCGCAGCACCGAAGAAACCCAAAAAAAGGATGAGGCTGAAAAGATGGAACCAAAGACCGTGATCGACCAAGCCAGAGACAACATGGAGACTTGTTTGAAGAAAGCCGCCGAAGCTCGAAAGCACGCTCTCTCTTTGAGTGGTACAGGCTATGGTGGAGACCTCTCAACGCAGCTGATGAACTTCAGCGCAAAAATGGAAGCTATTTACAAAATCTTGCAAGACGTGACCGCCAGGAAAGTCATGGATGAGGAAAGCTACATGAAGCATTTCAAAATCATCACCGACAAGACTGGCTGGTATGAGAAAGCCGAGGCTGGGAAGCCCACAGCG